ATGATTCATAACAGTAGCAAAATTACAGTTATGAAGTAGCAACAAAAATAATTTTATGGTTGGGGGTCACCACAACATGAGGAACTGTTTTAAAGGGCCGCGGCATTAGGAAGGTTGAGAACCACTGCTTTATTTTTTTTTTTTTTTCTCTTTTCTTTTTTTTTTTTTTTTTTAATTAAATCTTTATTGTTCAGATTATTACATTTGTTGCTCTTTTTTTCCCCCCATAACTCCCCTCCTCCCAGTTCCCGCCCCACCCTCCGCCCTCACTCCCCACCCACTGTCCTCATCCATAGGTGCACGATTTTTGTCCAGTCTCTTCCCGCATCTCCCACACCCCTTTCCCCCCCAGGAATAGTCAGTCCATTCCCTTTCTATGTCCCTGATTCTATTATAATCAACAGTTCATTCTGTTCATCAGATTATTTATTCACTTGATTCTTAGATTCACTTGTTGATAGACGCATATTTGTTGTTCATAATTTGTATCTTTACCTTTTTCTTCCTCTTCCTCTTCTTAAAGGATACCTTTCAGCATTTCATATAATCCTGGTTTGGTGGTGATGAACTCCTTTAGCTTTTCCTTATCTGTGAAGCTCTTTATCTGACCTTCAATTCTGAATGATAGCTTTGCTGGATAAAGTAATCTTGGTTGTAGGTTCTTGGTATTCATCACTTTGAATATTTCTTGCCACTCCCTTCTGGCCTGCAAAGTTTCTGTTGAGAAATCAGCTGACAGTCGTATGGGTATTCCCTTGTAGGTAACTGAGTTTCTTTCTCTTGCTGTTTTTAAGATTCTCTCTTTGTCTTTTGCTCTTGGCATTTTAATGATGATGTGTCTTGGTGTGGTCCTCTTTGGATTCCTTTTGTTTGGGGTTCTCCGCGCTTCTTGGACCTGTAAGTCCATTTCTTTCACCAGGTGGGGGAAGTTTTCTGTCATTATTTCTTCAAATAGGTTTTCAATATCTTGGTCTCTCTCATCTTCTGGCACCCCTATAATTCTGATGTTGGTACGCTTGAAGCTGTCCCAGAGGCTCCTTACACTATCCTCGCATTTTTGGATTCTTTTTTCATTTTGCTTTTCCGGTTGGGTGTTTTTTGCTTCCTCGCATTTCAAATCATTGACTTGATTCTTGCGCTCCTCTGGTCTGCTGTCGGGAGTCTGTATAATATTCGTTATTTCAGTCCGTGTATGCTTAATTTCTAGTTGGTTCCCCAATATAAGATCGAGGGTCTCATTAGATTTCTTGAGGATCTCACTACATTTATCGGCGGCTTCTAGACAGTTCTTAAGAGACCTTAAAAGTGTGGTTCTGAACTCTATATCTTCCATTGACAATTTTGTCCTGTTTCTTTGTCTCCGCATTTTGTTATGCTTCCTTGGTGCACCTCCTAGTGGTCTTTGTTTGCAGTCTTATAGTTAAATCTTGATTGTTGTAGCTAATTCCAGGGAGGGTTTGACCTCTAGGCCAAGTGGCTATGAGAATCAGCTGTGTCAGTAGTGAGAGAACTTCTGTCCTCTAGGGAGGTGCTAATCTAGCCTTTGCCTGAGGCTATCCGGCAAATGCCTGTGTGCAGGGCTTGGGCGGGGCGGGTAGAACAGGATCAACAGGGTGGGCCGGAGAGAGCAGTTATGGCGGCTCTCAGTCCTGTCCCCAGGGGCTCTGCCTCTCTGAGTCCCAGCACCCGCTGCAAAGCTCAGAGAGAAAGCTGCACTCGCTCTGACCGAAGCCAGACAGTCCCGCTTCTCCCGTTTGAGTCTGGGTCCCTAAAGACTCGCCCGGATCTGGAGCTCAGAGTCTGCGACTCCCTCCCGATTGAAAACGCCAACCGCGCCCTCCGCCGCCAGCCCGCTCCGCGCACTCCGCACCTCAGAATTTGACTTCAGCACTGCGCCTCCTCTGAGTGTCCGTATGCGTTTCTCTTTCCTCCTAGTTGTAGGACTTCCACTCAGCCAGCATTCCTGTGGTTCTGGGTGATGTCCCTTCCGTTTTTTGGTTTCACTTTTGAAGTAGTTGTTCAAAGCAGCAAACTCCGGCGTTAACCTATGCCGCCATCTTGGTTCTCCCGTGACAACTCATTTTCGAGAACCACTGCTTTAGATGATTCTAAATGAGTCATGAGTCTCCAGGAGATAACGTATGTAGAGGTCTTGCTCTCCAATTGCAAGTACTGTACAAGGTGGTATTATTCCCACCTTGGGGACACACAGAAAAGATGCGTGGGTCCTAGATCCTCGTCCTTCCATGCCCCGTCCCCATCATTCCAGATGGGGTAAGTAAAACTGACTGACATAGTATGGGTAGAAGAAGGCAGGTGACATTTAACTTTCACGAAATCTTGAACTGGGGGGAGAAGGGGTGCAGAATAACATTCTGTAAAATAAACCAAGGAGGAATCCTGGATGGTGAAAGCTTTGTGGAGGCCAGGAATAACAGGTACAGGCTGTTCTGTGCTGAGGGTTCCTAGCCAGTGTTTTAACAACCAGCAATATTAACTTTACGTCTTAATCAAAGCGGAGGCACTCAGCAAGCCTCAAAGCATTACCTCCCCAAGAATTCACTCTAAGTATAATAGGGGTCTTTTTAAGTCCTGAGTACCACACATTACACTTAGCAGCTAGCCAACCATTTTCTTTCCTTCCTGCCTAATGTAATTTTTCTGGTTTTTTCTACATAAAGGATTTCAGGTATTTTTTTAAAAATGATTCTCCCTCCTAAATTAACCTGGCTTTTGTTTCTAACAATCAAATGAGCTAAGAAAATGAGTCAGTGCTTCTCACTAGCTTCTAAGTAACCAGATGTAAAGATTTTCCTCCACAGCCATCATTTGAAGTGTCAAATTTCTGATGGGGGTACAAGGTTGTTGGCTGGGGAGGGGGGGGGGGTCAGAAAAGGAAGGGCTTATCCTGAAAGTAGGGCCAGCCATTTGTCCACTAAACCAGGCTCCTCTGTGGATGAAGCCATGTGCATTGCCTCCTGCCCCCTCACTTCTTAGTCATTCATTCAATCATGGAACAAAAATTATTATGTAGGTACATGGTTATGTAAGTGCTCATTGAACAAGTCTGACAGGAGCCTCGCCCTCCAGGCCCTACAGTCTAATGGAAGTTCAACAGCTAAACGAGACTGTTTCAGTAATTAATTTATTCCCCAGATAATTATTGATTATGTTGTTTTTCAATAAGTAATCATTGAGCCTTTACTATAGGCAAGGTACTGAGAATCAGTGTTAGCAAGACAGGCAGGATCCGTGCCCTCAGGGGCTTAGGTTGAGGGGCAGTTAAACAAACGAGATGACCTCTGAGACGATGAACGCCCACTGAGAACAGTACAGCAGGTGTTGTGATGGAGGACCCAGGCTGGTTGTGATGGAGGGAAGACCCAGGCTGGTTGTGATGGAGGGAGGACCCAGGCTGGTTGTGATGGAGGGAGGACCCAGGGCTGGTTGTGATGGAGGGAGGACCCAGGCTGATTGTGATGGAGGGAGGACCCAGTGTTGGCTGTGATGGAGGGAGGACCCAGTGCTGGCTGTGATGGAGGGAGGACCCAGGGCTGGTTGTGATGGAGGACCCAGGGTGGCTGTGATGGAGGGAGGACCCAGGGTGGTTGTGATGGAGGGAGGACCCAGGGCTGGCTGTGATGAAGGGAGGACCCAGGGCTGGCTGTGATGGAGGGAGGACCCAGGGTGGTTGTGATGGAGGACCCAGGGTAGCTGTGATGGAAGGAGGACCCAGGGTAGTTGTGATGGAGGACCCAGGGTAGCTGTGATGGAGGGAGGACCCAGGCTGATTGTGATGGAGGGAGGACCCAGGGCTGGTTGTGATGGAGGGCCCAGGGCTGGCTGTGATGGTGGGAGGACCCAGGGTGGTTGTGATGGAGGGAGGACCCAGGGTGGCTGTGATGGAGGGCCCAGGGCTGGCTGTGATGGAGGGAGGACCCAGGGTGGTTGTGATGGAGGGAGGACCCAGGGTGGCTGTGATGGAGGGAGGACCCAGGGTGGCTGTGATGGAGGGAGGACCCAGGGTGGCTGTGATGGAGGGAGGACTCAGGCTGGTTGTGATGGAGGGAGGACCCAGGGTGGCTGTGATGGAGGGCCCAGGGCTGGCTGTGATGGAGGGCCCAGGGCTGGCTGTGATGGAGGGAGGACCCAGGGTGGCTGTGATGGAGGGAGGACCCAGGGTGGCTGTGATGGAGGGAGGACTCAGGCTGGTTGTGATGGAGGGAGGACCCAGGGTGGCTGTGATGGAGGGCCCATGGCTGGCTGTGATGGAGGGCCCAGGGCTGGCTGTGATGGAGGGAGGACCCAGGGTGGCTGTGATGGAGGGAGGACCCAGGCTGGTTGTGCTGGAGGGCCCAGGGCTGGGGATCTGCTGAGGAAGGGTGAGAAGGAGGGCCTCCCTGTAGGGTGACTTCTGCACAAGGGCCCTATGAACCCAGGCCCTCCGTCCTGTTCCACGGAGCACCCATGCCTCCTAACTGAACCTTCATGCAGACATTAACCGTACTGTCTGACGTTAGTTTCTCGTTGTCTACTTGTCTTCTTTCCCTCCAAGGTCTAACCCCTGGGAGGGCAGGTGGAAGCAGAGGTGACTGGTAGGCTGCCCGGATGCGTCTGGAGCCCCAATAGCATGGCCGAGACGGCGGTGGGAGGAATCGTCTAATGGCGCCAAGAACATTTGCTTAAGTCAAGGCGACAGGCCTGTCCGCGCCATTCGCTGGGCAGCTGCCCACAGGCCTCGCGACGCCAGGTGATGGTGGGCGGGGCGCCCGGGAACCCGCTGGGCCGGGCCCAAGGCTGCCCAGAGGTCAGCCTGCCCCGACGCCCTCGAGGGGGCGGGCCACCGGCCGCGCCTGCGCAGCACCACGGCCTCGCGGCGGCTCCCGGCGCTGCCCGGAACTGCGCCGACGCGGCGCCCGGCGCTAAGGGGCGGGGCTTGGTGGCGCCGCGCGGGAGGCCGGGGCCCAGCCCGGGCCGGGATAGGGCGGGGGCTCCGCGTCGGGACGTCCCGGCGTCGGGCCCGACGGCGCGTGCGCGCTGCGCGACCAGCGGAGGCGAGGGGGCAGGGCGGGGGCCGGTGCGGCCTCTTTGCCTCTTTGCGCCGCCGGGACGCCGCGCGGGCCGCCGGCACCATGAAGATTTGGACTTCGGAGCACGTCTTTGAGTAAGTTCGGGGCGTGGGACGGGCCGGTGGGGGGCGCGGGGCCGCTGTGGAGTGTGTGGGGGGAGGGGGAGGGGGGCAGGTTGGGCCCGAAGTGGCGGCGAGGTCGAGGCGCCCCGCAGGAAGCTTCCCGGCGTCGGGCCGAGTTGGGGAGCTGGCCCTGAGCCCCACGGGGTTCTGGGGGCGCCCGCGCGGCCCTGCTCCCGGGAATGGCCCCTAGGACGTCCCGGCCCCGCCGCCGCCCCGCCGGGAGGGGGCCAGAGGCGGGGCACCTGCGGCCGGCCCCCGGGTGGCGGGAGCGTCGCCCAACACGAGTTCCTGGACGACACTCGGGCGAGCGGCCCCCCACTTGGACCCCCGGCTTCCAAAGCCGGGACGCGGCCCGGGGACCCCGAGGGCGTGTGGGCTGGGCCGAGAGCCCCGGGCGGCCCCGCCACCGCCGGGGTGGAGTCTCACGTCGGAATGCGACTGGACGAGCGCCGGCGACCTGGAGCGACACTTCCGGCAGCTCGAGGCCGGGAGGAGCTGCGGGGTCGGAGTCCGGGTGCCGCGCCGCCTCCTGCGCGCCCGGTGACCTCGGCCCCCTCCGCCGGGGACGCCGAGGGCGAGGGTGGGCGGGGCCTCGGGGGCCGCCCTCGGGGACGGCCTGGGTTGCCGAAATGGTCAGGGCCGGAGGGAATGGCCTGGGGCCGCAGGTGTTGGGAACTAAACCTCCTTCTGGGTGTCGGACTCCACGCACGAAAGAACCGCACGCCACGCGTGTAGTCAGCGGGTCTGCCGTCGCCGGAAGGGCCTCGGCCCGAGCTGCCTGCCGCGATCCTGCCGAGGAGCCACGTTGTTTTAGCTCTCATAGCTTTGCAGTGTGCTTTAGTTTCACTGTCTGATGAACAGTGTTCCCGAGGGCAGTTTTAAAAGAAGTTGTAGTGCTCGCTTCGGCAGCACATATACTAAAATAAAACAAACAAAAGAGAAGTTGTAAACTTATGACCTGCTCGGAGCCCGCTGGGCCCTGGAAGCGTGGGGTGTTGGAGTCGCAAGAAGATTTATTTTCTTCCTGGTTGGTTAGGGTTCCGGGGGCAGAGACCCTGTGGTCCTAGTCTTTCTGATCTTCCCCCGCCGGGACACAACCTTCACTGCTCCGTCGGCCCTCGGCTCCGGGGGTGATCCTCTGCCGGGCTTCAGGGCGTCCATTGCTGGGACTGCGCCTCCTTAGGACGTTCTTCTCTGTCTCCCCTAACACCCTGTTCCCTGGCTTGTCCCCAGCCGCTCTCTGCCCTTTTTTCTTTTTTTCTTTTTTTTAAAAATATATTTTATTGATTTTTTACAGAGAGGAAGGGAGAGAGATAGATAGTTAGAAACATCGATGAGAGAGAAACATCGATCAGCTGCCTCCTGCACACTCCCCACTGGGGATGTGCCCACAACCAAGGGACATGCCCTTGACCGGAATCGAACCCAGGACCCTTCAGTCCGCAGGCTGACTCTATCCACCAAGCCAAACCGGTTACGGCAGCCCTTTTTTCTTTAATGTTTCCAACGTTCCCTTTCGGTGTCAGTATTGAGTGAGATTCTGTTGTCGGCCTTCTTGTCTAGCATTTTATCAGTGATTCTTAATCTTTATTTTTCTCTTTTTGCCACAGACTTCTCTGGGATTTGAGGAAATCTCTGGGGCCCTCCTCCCAGAAGACAGACATGTTCACGTAAAAGCTGTACATGTCCTGGGAGAAGAAGTCCTGATCCTGACTCTATCCAGATACTCAGGGCTTTTCCATCGTGGTCCTAGCTGATTTGTACACACTTAGGGCACCACAATCCGTACCTTGGGTCCCACCAGTCTTGAACTTCTCATCCTTACTTTCCTGTCCTACCAGACATCTCTACTCACCTGTCCCATGGGCTCTTCAAACTCAGCATACCTGAAATTAAAGTCATTGTCTCCCAGTAATCTTAGACCACTTCCCTACGTATCTAACTTCAGGATGATCCAATCTAATAACAATGTCTAAGGCAGCGGTTCTCAACCTGTGGGTCACGGGTCTCGACCCCTTTGGCGGTTGAACAACCCTTTCACAGGAGTCGCCTAAGACCATCCTGCATATCAGATATTTAAATTATGATTCATAACAGTAGCAACATTACAGTTATGAAGTAGCAACGAACGTAATTTTTTGGTTGGGTCACAACATGAGGAACTGTGTTTAAAGGGCCAGAAGGTTGAGAACCACTGGTCTAAGGCCTTATTCTGTGTCATACCCATCTTTGGTTTCCCACACTTCCTTCTGAGGCCTAGCATGTAGTTGGTATCCAGTTGTGAAGTCATTCATTGGCTCCTTCAGCAGCTGTGAATGCCCACACTGCACCTACCAGGCACTGTTCTTGGGATTGGCAGAATTTGTTGTTGCTTCAGTGGAGTTGCAGTGTCTCCCACCTCATTTTATAGGTGAAGAAATTGGACAGGTCAGTAAGCCACCACAGGTTCTCCGGACTGCCCTTTGGTGCTATGAGTATCTTCCAGTGTGAGGTCTTCTCACATAATTACACTGAGACAGTTAAAATTAATTGCAGGAAGACTGCATCATAATAGGCCTCCTTTGTAGTGTTTGAGCTAGTTCTATTTCATAAAGCAGTCTTAGTTCAAGCAAGTCAATGTGGGTGTTTTCCAGTTGGCTCAGAGAGGAGAGAAGGCCTAAATTACAAATATTGTATAACCACCCCGAAGCCATGCAATTATTCATTTTTTTGGGAGGGATGAGGTAAAGAGTTAAGTGCAAGGAAGCTAGCTGACCATGGTATGGGGCTAGATGGAGTCAGGGAAAGGGTTTGTCCAGTGTTCATTTTAGATAGTTGCTTGTCCTGTATCACTCCTATTTTTGAGGGCTATTTAGATTAATAAAATATCTCCACTTACATAACTGCATTGATTGCGGAGTAAGGCCTGATATTAAAGATAGAATGAGATTCATTTATTTAATATGGTAGCAAAAATTAAAACATCTTATATAGCCCTATCCGGTTTGGCTCAATGGATAGAGCATCAGCCTGCGAACTGAAGGGCCCCAGGTTCGATTCCGGTCAAGGGCATGTACCTTGGTTGTGGGCACATCCCCAATAGGGGGTGTGCAGGAGACAGCTGATCAATGTTTTTCTCTCATCGATGTTTCTAACTCTCTATCCCTTTCCCTTCCTCTCTGTAAAAAATCAATAAAATATATTTAAAAAAATAAAATAAAACATCCTATATAATGAAAGCCTAATATGCAAATCGACCAAATGGCAGAATGACCGGTTGGCGGGGGGTTGGGGCCGGCAAGCGGGCAGCGCCAGGCCAGCCAAGGCAGATGCCAGTGGGCAGAGGGAGGGGATGGTGATCGGGGGACAGTGGTGACCAGGCAGTGGGGTGCGGGGCCAGGCTTGCACCAGGCAGCACCATTCCCCCGATTGGCCCACCCATCACCTCCCACAGAGGGAGGCCAGACTGTGGTTTAGGCCCGCTCCCCGCCAGTGGGACATCCCCCAAGGGCTCCCGGACTGTGAGAGGGCCCAGGCCAGACTGAGGGGACCCTCCCCCCCCCCCGCCCCCCCAACAAGTGCACAAATTTTCATGCACCAGGCCTCTAGTTACAAATAATGTCACTGGTTGTCCAGGGTTTTGAGATTTTCCTTCTGTCGATGTGAAGTAGTTGTCAGACTTGGCTCTCTGAAAGTTAAGTCACCTTTCATATTCAGTGTAGTTAATGAGGGCTCCTTTGAAAAGGATGTCTTTTGTACAGCCTCCTATTCACATAAGTTGTAGAGTGAACGAATGTACATCACGTTTGAATCACCAGGCACATGTGCTTTCTCAAGAGATGAAGATGCTGCAGGTTCCGTTTCAATCCTAGAAGATAAGCAAATCTTATTTTATTAAGAAATAGCATATTAGCAGCATCTTAAAAACATTTTATTATCTTTTCAAAGCCAACCAGAACCACTCTTGGGAGCAAAGCAATGGATCAAGATTGACTGGAGGGGGTCACTGTTGTTTATTACCTTAATGTAGAGAAAAATACATTTTTAAATCAGTAATGTTTTTAATCTTTGTAATCACTGTAAGAATTTACAGAGCAAATAAGGTCTTTACTCTTGTTACTTTGTAGCTTTGTATACTTGGGGTCAGACAAAAAAGATAAATGGAATAATTTTTGTTGCTTGATTCTGTAGAATATAATTTTTATGAATTTGGTTCCTAGAAACAAAATTTACATGTGAAAGTAGACATGGGTAAATAGAAAAGATTATTTAAGAACCTGTACTGTGATGTTCCGTAGGCTATTTTAATCTTTATAGAAATCAATTGTACCATATAACCTGTGCTGAAAAAAGACTAAAATGTATATTTTTAAAATTTAGATTGAGCCCCTAAACTCATCTTTTGAGAAAATTTTCCCTAGGTATATTAAACTTCAATTGCAAAGAATAATTCGATGGGTTATAAAATGCTTAATTTAAAGGTATATTTTTAAATGTTTGATTGTGCTTTATGTTGCAGCCACCCATGGGAAACTGTTACAACAGCCGCAATGCAGAAATATCCAAACCCTATGAACCCAAGCGTGGTTGGAGTCGATGTATTGGACAGACATGTAGATCCTTCTGGAAAGTTGCACAGCCATAGACTGCTCAGCACAGAGTGGGGCCTACCTTCCATTGTGAAATCTGTAAGTGTGTCTTTATTCCTGCAGAAATGTGACTGCTGGGGAGAAGTTTTCCAAACCACATTATAATTTCAAATAGGCTGTGGGAGCAGATTCTGAATGTCATTTTTTCATCAGTTCAAATTGTATTATAATAAACTTGACTTATGAGTGTATAATGAATTGGAAATATTATTACAGTCTTCATGAAGGCACCTGATAAAACTTTCTGAAGGAAGCCAGCTAATGCTCTGTAGTTTAAAATGAGGAATATCCTACTTTTCCTGTTTTTGCCAGCAACTTGAGACCAACAGTAAGATTTGGAAGTAATGGTTTGGTGGGGATTGTTAGCTGACAGTTGTGTGGTCAGTGGTGGTTCGTGCACATGAAGAGAACAGCATTTTCTTGGCCTTGCTGTTGCCACATTGTTCCAAGATCTGGGCCTCCTCTCCATACATTCCAAAACAGAGTTCTATTCAGTTTCAAGCAAGCAGGCTTTAGTGACTCAATTTAACCAGTAAGAAACTGGAATGCCAGTTTATAGTGTGGGAAACTCTGGTATGATAAGTGGGTGCAGTTTTTAGTAGAAGTTCCCTTTCTAGAAGGTAAACAAAAGTACACCGTTTGCAACAGGAAAGCACTGATTGCTTCCTTTGTACAAACCACTGCATTAGGTAATGGGGGCCCAGAAATGAGTAGATTGGGTGATTGGCTTGGGGCACAGGGAGTGACACTCACTGGGTGTGATGTCCTCCTTCATGACATGACTGTTTCCTGCCTGGAGAGTCTCCTTTGGATGGCTCTAGGGAAGTGCTGACTGGTGCTCTGAGCGCTCCTTGTTCCAGATGCCATGTTTCCCAGACCCTCTGAGTCCCAGTTTCAGCCCCTGCTCCTTGGTCATTGGCAGGTCCAGCATCCGTCATCACTGCAGTGGCTCAGTGGGCTGCTTGCTCATTGCCTCTGGGGAGGGTGTTGGGTGGCGTCTCATCTTATCCATGGGGTGTGAATTCCTGGTATCTCAGATGGGCCTCCTTTCTGACCTTTGTCTGATGCCTCATGGATTTGTTTTGTTTTTTACAAAACAGATTTTTGGTTCAAGACATTAACACATTTTACTTTCAAATAAAATATTGATACACTTGTTAAGAAATCCTTCCTCCTCTGATTACTAATTGTGGATGTTTTATTTAGCTGATTGGTGCGGCAAGAACCAAAACATATGTGCAAGAACATTCTGTAGTTGATCCTGTAGAGAAAACAATGGAACTTAAATCCACTAATGTAAGTTTTGGCTTCCTTTTGTCTTATTTTAAACTATTTGGCCTAAGGTTCTGTCACTCCTAGTGTTGAAGAGATGAATCTAGCTCTGTGTGGGCGCTGAAGCAGTCAGCACTCACATGCTCTGCTGCCTTTGCCTTTTTGCAGCTTAGCCTCACCACTCAATGAGCCTACTTAGCATTTCTAGCGGCTAGCACTCAGTAAAATGACTTGGGATTCTGTGTGTTAGTACTCTTATAATGCTTTTGTCAAATTTACTTTTTTTTTTTTTAATATATTTTATTGATTTTTCACAGAGAGGAAGGGAGAGAGAGAGTTAGAAACATCGATGAGAGAGGAACATCGATCAGCTGCCTCCTGCACATCTCCCACTGGGGGATGTGCCCGCAACCCAGGTACATGCCCTTGACCGGAATTGAACCTGGGACCTTTCAGTCCGCAAGCCGACGCTCTATCCACTGAGCCAAACCGGTTTCGGCAAATTTACTATTTTTAATAAAAAGTAAGAATGAATGAAATTTAAATTTTGTCTGCACAGTAATATCAAAGTGGTTTATTTGTTCTTGTTCTGTATACAAAATTTGGGTTTGTGACTTAATTTCGGAAATGTTTTTAATCCTGGTTTCCCACATGAACTGAATTTTTTTTTTTTTTTTAATTTCTATAGATTTCATTTACAAATATGGTTTCAGTAGATGAGAGACTTATATATAAACCACATCCTCAGGACCCAGAAAGGTAAGTAACAAAATGGTTTAACAAACTTATTTTACAGGTGTTTTAATTCTTTTACCAAATATTATTTTTAAAAATGAAAGTTAGATCATTCTGAAACTGTGTGAATTTGTTTTGTTCCAGAACTGTTTTGACTCAAGAGGCCATCATCACTGTGAAAGGAGTGAGCCTCAGTAGTTACCTGGAAGGGCTGATGGCGAGCACAATATCTTCAAATGCTAGTAAAGTACGTGAGGCTGCCCCCTGGTTACTGTTATTCCTGGGTTTTGTTTTGGAAGAGCTTAGCAGTGAGCATGTGTTTGTCCTCACAAGCCAATTTTCAGCCATGATACAATGAGAATCCATGCGAGCTGTACTTGCATAGACTCTGGGGCCCAGCACAGCTGGGTGTCCAGGCCCAATCTCTAACTCTTAGCAGCCTTGCTCAGTTAAGTTAACCTTTCTATGCCTTAGTTTACCATCTATGAAGTGGAGGTTAACTGTCCATCTCACAGGGGTAGGCATGAAGAGTTAGAGATAACATGGAAAGTGTGTGGCCCAGGGCCCAGCATGTGGGAAATACTTGATTACGTGGCACCATGTCGTTTAAAGCACCAATTCTCAACCTTTTTTCATTATCAATTCCCCCGTCCCAGATCCATTTTAGACATCTTTTTCTGATCACCCTACCCTGTGTAGTTGATAGATAATGCTTTATACATAAAAAGGTAGATTTTTTCCACCAACCCAGCTAATTTTTGCCCCATTGAGAACACATGATTTAAACTAAGTTTAGAGAAAAGGATGCTTAGTGCACTGTTCTATAACACTTAATGTAATCATTCAGTAGTCAGAAGATATTCATAGACAGACACCGCTCTGTTCCAGAGTACGAGGCTAGACTGGGGATACATCTGGAAATAAAAAAATGTGTTCCCTGCCTTGTAGAACTAAGAAAGGCAATGTTCATTGCAGTGTATCGTTAGAAAAGGAAAAGTGCAGGAAGGTATAAGAGTGTTTAATGTGTATTCGGTGGGTGATGGTGACAGCTGCATGAGGGGTGCCATGGTTGTGAGGGATGTGCAGGTCCTCTGCACACTCAGACAGGAGCTGAGTGTGCAAGGCCCTGAGGCAGGAAAAATGAAGTGCTGCTGCTGTTTCTCCTTACGGAACTGCACAGAGCATAGTGTGCCAGGAGAGAATGATTGAGGAAGCCAGGGACCAGATCTCTCAGGATTTTGGTTTAAATCTTTGGTTTAGCACTTACATAGGATCCTGGTTTCAAATACATAAGAAGAAAAAGGGGGTTTGGCTTCACCCCCAAAAAGGTCACTACTCTAATCATGAAATAAATGAAACGTCACTGTCACTTGATTATAGATTCTTTGGAGAACATCTTTTGCATACAAAATAAAAATCAGTTTATGGAGCAAGTCAGTTGCTCAAGGCATTTGTTATTTGGTAAATAACATCAGGAAGAAGCAGCAAATGATCTGTCCTGGTGAGGTTTAGTTAGACTTGTAATGCCCCCTGCTACTTCCTTGTGTTCCATTTATTTGATAGATGCCTTTGGTCTCACTCAGTAACAGTAAATGTATTGGATTTTTTTAAGGGCCGAGAAGCAATGGAATGGGTAATACATAAATTAAATGCTGAGATTGAAGAATTGACGGCTTCAGCAGGAGGAAGCATAAGGACGCCAATGGCGGCAGCAGCATTTGTAGAGAAATGATGAAAGTTGGTATACAACACCCAGTCCCCCAGATCTCTACTGGCTGGCATTATATTTATTGTTATTTAAAAAATACATTAAAAAATTATATTTTAGGTAGAATTTTTTTTTTTAGTAAGCCAAAGAAAGGGTATGTAACTTGATCAAAACAAGGAGGTATGGTGTTTCTAAATAACGGAGCATCTGAAATTACTAGTGTAGTTTGAAATGACTCTGGTTTTGAAGATTCCATAGTTATGTGAGAATTTAACAATTTTTGAAAGGTACTTGGAAATTGGTGTTAGCCTATTGTCTCCTTCAGGTTGAATTTTAAAGCTTTTCATGCATTGGAACTCTACCTGGCTTTGGACCAACCCCAGGACAAAGCAGAGCCACCTCCAATAGACACAATTGTTCTGCTGTGGGAAACTTCAAGAGGGAATTCACTTTCAAAGGAGAAACTGTACAGTTTTAAAAGATATAAATTTGTATAAAATAACTTGCTCTGCTTGCTATAAACCACCATTAAAAACCACAGTGTTTTAATTTGGTACGTAAATGAAATTTTTTGGAGTTAAAATTATCACTCAAGTAATATATAACTGCATCTTTACTCTATGAAAGAGTACTGTATTGATTTGCCGAAGTTCTGTAACTTAGTGAAGATACTACCTTCCATGGATTTGTACTTTATGACCTATGTGCCGTATTGTGGGCTGGTCATGTGAACTGAAAAAATAAAGTCATTACCGAAATTTTCCAGCACTCTGAACTTAAACAGAAGAGCAGCTGTTCACATCTTTTAGCATTTCACATTTGTCTGACTTGTAAATTGCCATGTGTCAGAATTATGGTTCTGTAATTGCTAAAATATGATCTGCCAGGTTATTTGAATATAATTACTTTTTGAAGTAATTGTGACCACAGAACATCTTTTTTACATGAGGAGCTGTACATCACTTGAAATTGCCTAAATGATGTCTTATCTGGGGTACAAATCCCAGGTACCTACTGTTTTTAATAATATGGTGCCACTGAAGGGGTAGAGGTAGAAAGGGGGAGAAAGGCATTGGCCTAAGATAACCACTACATGAATTGCTTTGTGATTTTTATTTATGGGGAATCCTCATTTTGGGAGCCAAAGGGCCACTGCACTCAGAAAAACAATCCAGTAAATGTATTTTGTCTCATATTTTGTAGCAGTTAATTATCAACCATTAAAAAATATCTTTGATACTTGAAACTGTTGCTTATAGAGTATTTTTGTTAAAAGGTGATTAGCTCTTGCATTTAACAATGCTTAATGTGATCAACTTCTAGTCAGGTTTCCTATAAAAGAAACCAGGTAATATATGTACATAAACCACAGAAATAGTATACCAAACTATTTAAAAATTAGTGTTTTCTACTTAAATTATTGTTTAGCTTAAGACTTCTTGGGGCATTTGTAAAAACAAGTGAAATTCAATAAGGTTTTTGATTATTTTTGTAACCAGAGATAGTTTTTACAATTGAAATAACATTTCAGCTAAACAAAACATTGCTAAGTACTGATTTTTTATTAATAGTTGCCTTCTATGCCCTAGCTGGTTTGGCTCAGTGGATAAGTGTCAGCCTGTGGAGTGAATAGTCCCAGGTTTGATTCCAGTTGGGGGCATATGCCTGGGTTGCCGAATTGATCCCCAGTGAGGGCATGCAGGAGACAGCTGGTCAAGGATTCTCTTTCATCACTGATGTTTCTCTCCCTTCCTCTCTAAAATCAATATATATATAAATATATATATTTTAAAGTTGCCTTTCTGTAAATTATACTTGTTCTGAAAAAGGTGTAATGAATGCACTGATAAAAAAGGTTTCTTAAGTTTTAGTCTGTTCGATTTTGTTTTAGTGAGAGCTAATGATAAAATTCTCTAAATTTTTATTTTCCTGTGTAATTACTCCTTTCATTTAAATAGCTGGTAGTTTATGGCTTTTACCTGTAAAGATAGAGATGCACAGCAAGCAAATACATTTGAGAGGACTACACTGGAAGTGTTCATCAAATAGACTCTTGGATTAGGAGCATCTTATCCTATTTAATATTAAAAGTGGATTTTACACTAAGAACCTTTCTTAATAAAAACTTTATGGTTTTTCCTGATTATAATTCTTTTTATATTTTTACTGATTTCAGATGAAGGGAGAGGAAGAGATAGAAACATCAATGATGAGAAGCATTGATCAGCTACCTCCTGCAGGCCCCCACAACCCCTGCATGTGCCCTGACAGTTTAAACTGTGATCCCGGCTCATAGGTCTGTGCTCAATCATTGAGTCACACCGGCCGGCCTGGTTATAATTTCTTAAATGTAAATAGCAGAGTAAATTTTTTTTCCTCCTAAGAATACACTTGTCAGGGCTGTATCCCAGCTCTGCTGAGATGGGTTTTCCACGTGTCTGGGGATCTCCCCCCTTTTGCAGACAGCACAGGTTTCCCTAAGACTCAGGGAGATGTACGGCTGGTCACTTGTTCCTGAAATTCGAGGGTTCCCCCCGGCCCCCGTGGGGTGCACCCCCCACCCGCCACCGCTTCGCATCTCCCGTCCCCAAACCACGCGGCCGAGCGTTCCCTCCAGCTCCGCTTGCCAAAGCCGGGAACTACGGAAGCCCGCGGGGCACAAGCTCATCACTCGCCGAGCCAATCACGAGGCGTAGCCGGCCAGCCTGCCAGGCGATTGGCATTCGTGGCCCGTGCCGCACGCTCCCATTGGCTCTCGGTGCCGGGATCTACGGCGGGACAGCGGAGGCTCTTCGAAAATGCCGGGCGGGGCCGAGCGGCTGGATTGGCAGGCCGGGGCCCCGCCCCTTCCGCTTCTCAGGCCTGACCTTCCGGCCGCTGGGTCGCGCGCGGAGCCGACATTGAGGCGTCCTCACGATTCGGTCCGACCGTCCCCCCCTTTCGCGGCATCATGGTGGCCTACTGGCGACAGGCTGGACTCAGGTGGGCCCGGGCCTCGGGAGGGGAGCTCGGGGCGGCCGGGTCAGAGGTCACGCGGGCGCCTGGGGGTCGGGAGGCGAGCGCGCCCAAGATGGCGGCATTCCGGGGCTTAGGGCCGGCCGGCTGCTGCTGGGAGCGGGCGCAGCCTCGTGGGGGCCGCGCGCGCGAGCACCTGCGCGCCTACGTGGGGTGCAGCCCCGCCCCCGGCGCGACGCCCCCCAGAGACGGCGGCTCTCAGCGCAGGTCCTTTGCCCTTCTCACGACATCGGTTGTCAAAGTAGCAGGTGACAAACAACGTGGGAGCTGGAAGATTGGGGGACAGCCCTCTGGATGTGGCCACTGCCAGTCGTTTCTGGGTTTGCCTTCCAGCATCCAATTGGGGCCCTTGACGATGGTGCACACTTTGTATGTTTATGGTACATTAACTACGTTGCTCTTACCTGCAGAGAGCCCTGCGCACAGGTGGCGGTGGCTCCTGGACGCTCCATGCGGAACCCGTTTGAGGACATAGCAGCTAGTGTCCCGGGGAGGACCCCTCTGGGTGCTGGGTGCCCGGTTCCTCCTCGTTCCTCTGGCCCGAGGGACACACCTGTTCACCTGTCCGGATAAAGTAGCACCTCCTAGTGGCGCCCGTGGGTGGAGGCTGGGAGACGCCCCAGCAGCCCCAGACCGCCTGACTGCAGAACTGGGAGGAGGGTAGTCCCAGGAATGGGCACCGTTTATTAACACGTTAAGCCCCATGTCAGTCCCTGTGACTGACACCACACTTTCCGTGTGAAGCACCTACTGTGTGCGGGAAGGGGTGACTCATGCTTTTCACACTTTGTCTCGCCTCCGCCCACCCACAGGTGGGGCGAGTGTAATTACCCGTCTGTCTTATTCTATTGTTTCTCTGGGTGAATAAACGAGCTGAAAGATTGAACAGCCTGAAGGTCACCCAATTAGTAAGAGTGGAAGCAGGCATTGGAACGCCTACCTCTTGGCCAAAAAAAAAACCCTAATCTGAAAACATGAGAAAATAGACAGCATCGCTCCCCCCTCACCCCCCTTCCTGTTTTCAAAAAGTGTACACGTGAGCTGACATCTTGAAAATAAGATGTTGATGGGCGTCCATCTACCAAACAGGAAGCAGGCTGTTAGACATTTTGCTAGAATTGATGATATTCTCAAAGGACTGGTGCAGTTTAATTTGGAAACCTTGATTGGGAAGTATGTTTAATGGCAGAATTGTGAAACAGGATCCAGTATTCTCAGGAAAACCTTTAAATAATTAATCACAGGGAGAACTTTTAATTCAAAATAGTTTTTTTCTCTTTTAATTATACATACTTTACCTTGTCGGAATAATATAAAAAGTTTCAAGTAGAGAAATTGGAGGGAATCCCTCATGTTATAGACTCCATTAACATTTTGGACTGCTTCTTGTGCTATGGGATTTAAAAAAAAAATATATATATATATATATATATATATGCATATTTTATTTTTTAATATATTTTTATTGATTTAAGGGAGAGGGAGATAGAAACATCAGTGATGAGAGATACTCATTGATCAGCTGTCTCTTGCACGCTCCACACTGGGGATCGAGCCCACAACCCAGGCATGTGCCCTGGCCAGGAATGGAACCATGACCTCCTGGTTCATAGGCCAAGCTCAGCCACCGAGCCACGCCAGCCAAGCTGTGCATCTTTTATTTTAAGTTAATATGTATTAAAGAGGGGAAAACAACATAAAGTACAAAAACAAAAGCCCACCCATCCTATCACCAGTGAAGACTCTGGTATATTTCTTCCTGGTCTTCTTTTTCTTTGTATGGATTCCTGTTGGCATTGTCATTTCTAAATCTAGTTCTGTAATAATGGACCCTCAAACCAAAGTTAAAAATATAGGAAGAAAAAGAAAACCAGTTACACAACCAATCTGGCTGGTTCCTTGATAATTAACTCTGGATCGTCTCTCATTTTCTCCCAGCTACATCCGCTACTCCCAGATCTGTGCCAAAGCAGTGCGGGATGCACTGAAGGCTGAATTCAAAGCAAGCGCCGAGAAGACTTCCAGCAGCAGCGTCAAA